CGTCTCCCGCCCCCTGTCCCCGCGTCCCCGCCCCCCTCTGCGGGCTCTCTCATTCTCTAACCCCAGGTCGACCCTTTTCTCTCTCCCATTGGCCTGCGCGGCTCCATCCATTGGTCCGAGGTACCTGTCCATTTCCGGGAGAGTGCAACACCTCCCGGCAGGAGGAGGCGGCGGCCTCATTGGGTGCCCGAGGAGGGATGGGTGGATCCTAAAGGTAGAGCCGAGCCCTCATTCAGACCAAAAAGGCTGGAGGAGGCCGCTCCTTTTGTTTGCTGTGGATGGGTGGGGGCTCCGTGGGGCAGCACCTGTGTTCTTGATCCTAAAGTGAGATTTTGAGAGTGAGCAGAGGAGAAGCGAGCTGGGTCGCACCCGCCGGGTGAGTTCTTTTTTCTCCAGCTCCCTCTTACAGTTGGATTCTCCCGTCTCTTGGATTTGCCTCTGCCCTGGTCCTACCAGATGGGTCAGCTTCCGCTCCCACCGGACTGAATGGCACCCCCCGCCTTCCACCGCCTTAACCTTTTATCTTCTATTTAAGGCCTTTAGGACCGTTGGAATGACCTTAGAAGAACTCTTTAAAACTACAGTTCTCGCTTTATGAAAACTGCACACAGCCCACCCGTTCCTGGGTTCCTGTAAGAAGAGATTCCAGTACCATCGCTTTTTAGAATTCAGAAAGACAAGAAACCACCTTGGTGGACCCCTTAGTAGGGTCCCAGCTTCAAACTGAGGCTGGGAAAGTTATCGATGACGTGGTCTCTGAAGGGACTCAGTTTTTCTAGTCATGGGTTTCTTTTGCTTGAGTAAATTGCACCTCTGATCGTGGTGACCTCTATAGAAATCAGATTAAGAACCAAAGTAGAACATACATACTAGCCGATGCTGCAGCCCACCATCAAGGGCAGACCTTTTCCTACACCCTTTTGTTATCCTCCATTTCTCAAACATTAAGAAAGAATGAAATGGGTGGCCCCTAATATTTCTTCTCTGCTTTATTCCTATCATAGCAATGAGAAGATTCTCTGACATTCAGGTCAAGCCAATGCTGAAAGATCTAGCCCGATCTCCACCAAACTGTTACCTTTTCCCCTTCAGTGGTAGGAATAGGTATGATTTATTTAGCAAGAGTTAGTGCTTCACCGAGTATTTTTTGTTTCATTTTAGTTTGGCGTTCATTGTTAGACAAGCTGAAGACGGTAGGGCAATTTGGAGAGATAACCAGGGCATGATCTTGGGCAGGTACTTACCACTGTAGTGCAGTCTGCCATCCTTAAAGTGAGGGGGGTGGACTGGAAGGTCTCCTCTCTTCTTGCAGGCCCGTGTTCTGTGGTGTCTCCTCTCTTCTTGCAGGCCCGCGCTCCATGGTTTGCACACAAGTGTGGCCACACTGTATCTAGGCATCCCAGATGTGAGGTCTTGAAGAAGACAGGTGACGAGTGCTGTTCTGGAGAGCATCCAGAGTAGGTCTCGAGAAAGCACGTCTGAATAAATGTCCTAAAAAGTGTTCAGATTCTTATTGTACATAGAATCAGTGAACTGGAAAAGATCTGGATGAGTCTTTGAGTAAATTCCCTAGGTTTTGTTCAAGGCAAAACTATTCCACCCCCAAGCAGAAGAGAGCAGGACAGTGGGGGATAGAGGTACTTTGTGTTTTAAAGAAGACCATAAGAAAAAAGATTTTCTTGATAAAATTTTAAGTTGGAGGGAAAAGGAATTTTACAGAATGATGTAGACACACAGAGAGAAACAGAAACAAAAAAAAAAACACACACTAGAAAGATGTAGAGAAAATTGTCAGCGGTGGATCCCTTTCAAGTGGAATTATGAGTAATTGGTCAATTTTTATTGTCATTTTGCTTATCGGTAATTTTGTGTGTTTTACTATACAGTTTTGTGCATCTCCACTCCTCCTCCACCCAGAGGAGAAGAGGAAAAAATCCTTGAGCCCTCTCAGGAGGAAAAGTCTAAATCCCTACGTAATTTAAATCTTTAATACCATAGCATGTGTTTGGGACCTCATGAAGAGTCATTCATCAAACATTTCAAGAAGTCATTCAATAAATATTTGTTGAGTGGATAAGTGCTAGGAATTCAAATGAGGGAAGATCCTTCAGGCTAAAGGTGTGGAGCGGAATTTGTCTAGCAGGATTTCACGGAAGAGGCACAAACCAAGCCGGTCCTGGAGGGGTACGGGGTGAAGACCCCGCATTCAGGGAGGGAGGGAGAGAGTATGGCACAGCCACACAGGTGGGCAAGCATGAATAAGCCCATCTGGATGGAATGAAAGGAAGAGAAAGAACTCTGAAAAGATAGGCTGAGACCAGATTGTAGAGGGCCTTTAATGACTTGAATCACACTAATAATTGTTGAATTGATTATCTGTAATTATTTAATGCCCAGTTTGTTCATTGTACGAGCAGGGACCCGTCTGTCTGCTTCTGCACAGTTCTCCCAGCGCCTAGAGAGCGCCTAGCCCATAACTGTCTCTCAGTACATATTTGTGACTGAATGGCCGACTTGAACACCAGGCTAAGAAGCCTGGATTTTGTTTAGCAGATAAAAGGTTATCACTGAAAGCTTTTGAGCAGGTCCCTAGAGTAGATAAGGAGTGGATGAGGAGGTGCTTAAGTTGGGCATTGAAGGATGTACACGACTTGATGAGTGGAGAATTGAAAGTGTGGAAGTGGAAATTAACATAATGGATAGCAATAATAGAAATACCAGCCTGAGAAGAGGAGACAGTGCAAAAAGAGAGGGATGGGAAATAAAATTAACTAAATAAAAGAAGGTCAGATTGCAAAAGACTTTGAAAGCCAGGTGGAACTACCAAGATTTCACCACTATTAAGCAGGAGTTGACAAATGTCACCTCAACACGGACCATTTTCTCTGCCACACTGGAAAGTATAGCATAAGGCAGGGAGAAAATAACAGTAATCAGGGGTGCAGCTTGATTTTGGTCAGAAGATCATGATTTATCCTGGCTCTGTCCATTAAAAACCATGCGACTTTGGGCAAGGTACCTGTTTGAACCTCAGTTTCCTCATTTGTGAATAGGTATAGTAACAGAACTTGCTTTTTATAGAGCAGTTCAAGCTCTTAGCATGCTGCTTAGCACCCACTAAATATTCAACTTATTTCCCTCTTTCCTTTGACCATCTCCCCCAGAAACACTCTAGGAAATTAATTAATTGTACCCTAGGAAACTGCAGAGGCTTCTTGACTGGAAGTTGAACTGGAGTTTTTCCCTTAAAAAGGGGGGGGGGAGGGAGGAAAAAGGAAAGAAAAGGCAGAAAGAAGGAAGGAAGGAAGGGAAGGAGGAAGAGAAAAAAACCAGGCAGCATACATAGACTGATGGTTCAAGTCTGGGGCCTTGGATTCTGGCTGATTCTGAATCGACACTGACTGTTTGCCATTATGCAGGCTGACCCCCTGTGCCCCAGAACCCTCATCTGGAAACTGGGGATAATAAACCCATCTCACTGGGCTCCTGGAACAATTCGATGACACAATGTATATTGTGTGCTTAGCACAGAGTCCAGCAAGTAGTAGTTATTATTATTCGAGCCTAAAATATGATTTAGTGAATGAATGTCACCCTCTCCTCAGTTCTTCTGGGAAGTATTTTAAATCGGTACTTTTGTGCTAGAATCCCTCAGGCAGACATTGAACTTTTCTAAGACAGTCAGCTCACCCCTCTTACCTCTCATGTTACACCATTTCAGGAGAGGAGCCCTGGTTCCTGATTCATAAACTCCACTCACGTTAAGTATGATTTTCAGTAAATGTTTTGGGAGGGTGTGTGGTGGGGCTGATGGAACAGAAGCTTTGGAGCCAAACACTCAGGTTCGAATCCCTGCTCAACTAGTCCCTTTGGATGAGGCACGTCCTTTCTCTGAGCCTCCGTTTCATTATTTCTAAAATGAGGTGGTTGTGAGGATTAGAAGGAGTACTCCCAGCAGTACCGAATACATAACAGGTGCTCAAGAAATTGTAAATGTTCTTATTGCAATTGATAGTATTTTAATTCCTGTCATCTGAGAGTGAATGGGGCTTGAAACATCAAAACCATAAGAAATCTTCCCTCCTTTCTTCTTCTTCCTCCCGTCTCCTATGAAAACCACGGTTTCAGAAAAACCACAGTTCTATGACAGCTGTTTAGAATATCACATCTCTGGAGAGGGAGTTGCATTTTAACAACGATCAGAGCCTTTAATCAAGGAACGAAGGTCAAAGAGAATTTCTGCTTCATTCAGCCTGGTTGCAGAGTTAGCCCATGGGACAGCTCTCCATGAAATTACTCCTCTTACGACCCTTCTGGGTCTGCAAGGACTTCAATTAAACCTTTTAGTCAAGGACCCCAAAGAGGTCCAATCAAAAGAAGAGAGATTCCATTAAAGAGAAAATTACCCCGACAATTGGGGTTTTTAAAGAACATGTAATGACTGGGAAAATGATCACGTAAAGTGAGAAAAAAAAGATAGAAAACTATCCATTGTAATCTTAAAATAATTCTAAA